CATATTCTTACTAGGGGGGTCATTTACCCCCACCAGAATACAATCACACAGCAGAAGAGATCTCTGCATCCACAAGGCTTGTGTTGATGGGGCCATCTGTGAGGTTTTTTTTCTTTCAATCCACTGGCTAAATGAAACAAACTCAACCTGTATACCCAGCCTAAATCCACCCTCATGGGTAAAGATTCACACTTTGTGTCAAGTTTGTACTGCTGTTCCTGTCCTTGGGGTGATTTATCTAGGCTTCCTGGCCACACAAAAAATGAGGGCAAATCTCACCAACATAAACATCTTCTAAACTTTACTCCAGTTTATTCAAAACTACAGAAAATATTTGCCATTTTCTGGCATATACCAAAGTATACCAAAATGACTTGCGTTGGTCCAGTCCCTGGTACAAGTAAGTTATTCAATCCCAAAAAAAGGGGTTCTTTTTTTGGGTTTGAACCTTTTTTTTTGATATAGCAATAAAGGATATAAACATGTCATGTCTTTCTTGCTTTATGCATTCCTCATGAGTGGTCACAAGGTCTACCATTAAAAGAAAAATCAACCTGATGAAAACCAAGGCTTCCCACTAGAACTGTAATACATCCACAGGGCTGCACACATGCCCCAGCCACAAGGCTTTGCATTTTTAACTGCTGCAGTTTGACAGGCAGCACCACCAGTCATATGTGCCCATTGAGATCAACCCAAATGTTCAGGTCACAGTTGATGAGTAACTCCGCATGGTATAATTGCCATTTGGCAAGTCAGGAAAAAAGGGAGTAGGAGCTGTCAGCAGCTACTATACAACTTGCAATCCACCACAAATAGCTTTTCAGAGGGCGATGGTAAGCTTACCACAAATGTGAAAGAAGTCTTCCTCACTTTCTCCAAAACCTAAAGAAAAAAGTTTGGTTTATGTTTTACTTTGATGATATTAACCTCCCTGGAGGTATTCCCGAGTGTAGCTCGGGGTAAAATTTCAGTACCAGAAGCGGTAACCCCGAGCTAAACTTGGGCTTACCATGCGGCATTGCTCCGCGATCCCTCGATCACTTACCTTGTCCTGCGCTCCCGCAATGTCCCTCCTGCAGTGTCCCCAGCAATGTAATCCGGCGGATACTGGCATCTGTCATCTGGGTTCCGTCCCCTGCAAGCGTCGGGACGTACGGGGGACAGAACGGCAGGAATTTGAATATGACAAAAAGTGACATTCACTAAAATCACATAGTAAAACATTACTGTATCAAACCATTTCACATACATTTTGTCCCTACTGCTTTCTCCTGTGCCCTGCCTGCATTTTTACTGTTCTTTCTGCCTGCAAACTGAGAAACATCCATGGCGTCCAAAAAGCGTCCCTTTAGGTCAAAAGCAGTTTTAGAGCAGCTAGAGAACAGTGATAGTAAATTAGAACTACTTGCAGAATTGAGTGATGATTCGTGGGGAAATTCGTCATCAGACACTGAAAACGATTTTGCGACTTTGCTCAGTGATGTGCGAACTTGGCGCCATATTTCAAATTTCAGTGTTTTTGGTTTGATTATATTATTGAATTAAATTTATTATATTATTTTTTATGATTTATTAAATTATAATTTCTGATTTCGTGTTTCAAGTTTTATCATACCCGGGATGTTTACTAGACTCTTGTTCAGACAGATTTCAGCGAGTTATTCCTAAAAATTACAGGCCTACAATATAAAACACCAAATTTCCATGCAAAATAATGGTACCGCTTTCAGCACCAAAAATCTGAAATAATCATACCACCAGGGAGGTTAAGGGAGCTAGTGTACAAGATCTTCTGACCTCTGTAGTATGTTGCCGACTGGTACTTAGACGTGGTGGCTGCTTTTTTTTTTTAGGCTTTTCCCCTCCATTTTAACCTGGCAATCCTGCTTACAGTAACACATCATTTTCTAGGGTAAGAACAATTGCTCACTGTATCTATGTAGGATCATTGTTGCTCTAGGATAGGGAGTTAGGACTACAGAGCACCTCCTTCGCTGTTCCATACATGGGGGAGGTTTTATGTAGTTATAACACTTCTTCATAATGTCTGAGATATACCAGGTAGATTTCTAGTCATTCTTTAGACAGATGCAAAGCACTTTTAATGATTTAACAGATCAAAAGGGAGCAATAAGAGGTTAGATTTACATAAAGGTCAGTTTATGTCAATACAAATGTATTGTAATTTTAACATGTAATACATTGCAGCATAACAATTCTTAGATGTGATGTCTGCATTAGTTTTTTTTTTAAGGCTTTTTTCACCTGGTGGGTGGTAACACCTCCTGTACTGGGGTGCCCCCACTCCAGATGGATGCACACAGAGGGCACCTTAGGAGTATTAAAGTCCAGTAGTTCAGCATCTCTATAGAAACACGTGAAACCCCACAAAAAAATGTTTCTTTATAAAATGATCTTCCAAATTAACAGGAATCCTTCTTTAAAAGGAAAAAAAATATTTGAACTCTTCTGTGAAATTCCCTAAAAAAAAAAAAAAAAATCGCAAATAGTGCATTATCAAAAAACGATGTCAGGTACAGACAGGAAGTAGAGAGAAGACATTGCTAGAAGTGGCAGTAGAGGAAAAAATGGAGCATGTGCAGAAAGAGTATTTAAATGGCCCTAAGTCCCACGTACACAGCCTCAGTTGAAGTCAGGAAGTGATAAAACACATCAGAAAGTGACATTGACAGGAAGACACAAAGCGGCCATCTTGGAAGAGGTTTTGTCCATAGGAAATTGCCAATACTTCAAATGCTGTTTTTTTTTTTTAAAGGTTTATGCTTATGGTACATACTACACTATATATGGTTATGTTTTACACATGATGAAGCTGATACAACCTGGACATGACATGGAATTAAGAAACATCTTTATACGCCATTCACTTTCAACCATCTGGTAGGTGCATAAAAAGAAAAGGTGAAGGCAAGGGGGTCAACTTGCACAGCGTGAGCATTTGATAAGTGGAGGACGCACATACACGTTTAGCAGATTCCTTCCTTGTACGAATACACGTTGATAATCGCTTATCATCTGGGGTAAGATGTATAAGCCGAATAGGTGGTTTATTATTCACCTGTTATAATTATGATTTTGAGAGCACGTTAATTTATGGGGAGGTTATAGTTACACCCTCACTAGGTGGAGTGTGTGACACATTTGTGCACTTTATTTTGAAGTTGTTTTTCACAGATTTCCACATTTGATAATGCATTTTTGAAAGTTATGCATTTTTTGATAATACACTATTTGCAATTTTGTCTTTTTAGGGAATTTTACAGAAGAGTTCAAATATTTTTTTTCCTTTTAAAGGGTTCCTGTTAATTTGGAAGATCATTTTATAAACAAAAATTTTTTTGTGGGGTTTCACGTTTCTATAGAGACACTGAACTATTGGACTTTACGACTGACTTTCGAAGGAGAAAAGATATTCAGCATTGAGGGCATTTCACAATATTATTTTTGGGATAGCACCAATTTATTTATTATATTACCTTTGGAATATTGTTAAGTTGGGAGGAGGGCAGTGGTAGATGTACAAAGAGATTCAGATACAACAAATTAAAGCCAAACTCCAGCTGGCACTGCATGTATATAAACAGTTACAGCAATTGTAAGCACCTCTGTGTTAAATTATTTGTCGTCGGGGGGAGAGAGTGAGTGTGTGTCCACATAAAAGAAAACTAATGAGGCCATCACATTTAACAATGGGTAAGCTTTTAATAATAGTTTCCTCTTTGGGTTTTTTTTTTTTTTACCACTTTAAACAATATTTTAACCTTTAATATACATCATGTCATGTTTTATTAGCTTTTTTTTTTTATACTACTGCCAAGTTTTTCAAAAGTAACCAAAGATTTGGTAGACATCAGTCTGCAAACTAAAGGACATGCTTACTTCAGAACTAGCCTGTCTGAAGTGGTGCTATGGCATATTACACCAACAGCATGATGCAAAGTGTACTTGCTGGGTATCATTAGCACCTTATGCTCATTTCATAGTTAATTTTTTTTCCTAGACACCATAAAAAAGATCTTTTGTCCAAAAAAAAAAAAGTCAGCAGCTGCAAGTACTTTTATTAAAGACACTTACTAGTCCAGAGCTGTCCTCACCCTTACCAGTTCTTAGGGTCCCCAGATCCAATCTTGATTTCCTGCAGCTTCACAGCCAGTTCTCCATTGCACATAAAAGTCATGCTAAGCTTTGTGAATGGACCTGCAATGTGTCCCAGGATGATCCAGATTGGGGGGGGGGGGTACAGGGAGGTTCAGTTCACCTAAAACGCTAGGTGAATCTGCCAGATATAGGAAGCTGCTTCCAAAAATACTTTCAGTAGAGGTGGCAGAGTATTAGGAAAAAGCAGAACTTCCCTTTTCAAGTAAGGCTCAGCTTTAAAAGTGTAAGTTCACCTCTTGGAACATGCAACATGTTCCAGCAGCTGCAGCTCTCACCATTGGTCTTCTCCCCACTGTCACCATTTGAAAACACAGCTGATCTGCCTACATCATTCCTTCAGTTTACTGTGAATGAACGCCTGAAGTTCTCAATATAGTGCTAGGGTGCTGGTGAGCAAGTCCATTGAGCTTCCCAGACTGCAGGAACTACCTGAACTTCAAGTTTACAAGACTGTTTGACATCCATGATTACAAGGGAACCCTTTTTCTTCCAGAAGTGATTCCCATCCCGATTTAGGAAAAAATTATCAGAATTTCACCACACCCAAGCCAGTCTAAAATACTTTACCATAGTAGAGGAAAGGTAGATAAAATGCCCCCAAGCAAGTGGTACCATCTTACGGATTCCTTTTTAAAAAGGAACTTAGTCCAAGTAGTATCATTTATTTGGTGCAACAGTGTTTGCGTTACCAGAATAACTATAGCAGTAGTCCATTATATCTCACGTTTCAGTTATACCACCAAATGACTATTACCTATTGACATTGAAGATAGAAACATGAACAAGTGAATAAAAGATCTTTATTTGATAAAAGTAATTTATTCTTCAGTTTCAGACTCCTCATCCTGGCTGATCTGGAAGTAGCGAAGCTCATAGGTCTCCTTGTTTGATGCAACTACACGTAACCAGTCACGTAGACTATTCTTCTTGAGGTATTTCTTTGTGAGGTACTTTAAGTACCTAAATAGGGGAAAAAAAAATATGAACAAAGTATGAGGTAACATTTCTCTAAAAGACATTTCCACGGCAAGCATACAGATACTGTAGTTATATTAGATCACCGACTGACTGAAACAATGCAAAAAACTCACCTGTAGCTAGATTTAGGGCTTAATGTGATTGAGGTAAATTTTGCTGTCTAAAGTTAGCTCCCATTTATTTTCAAAGCAGGGCTGTGAAACTGACAGCTGATATCAGTTGGTAAAATATACCTCTTCAGCTTTTCATACGCCAGACCCTTAAAACACCAACAGAAGGACTCAGCACTGCAGACACTCCACTAACAATATGCAGCCATTTTTACATCTTAATGTTGATTTGATCTTGCAATCAAGAGCTGCTTAAAATCATTTAAAAACTACCATATTTTGCTAGCATATGAGTGTAGCCAGGGTGTAAAGCAAGTTTACAATTATCCTAAATTTTTTAAAGCAGACCTTCAACCATTTAAAATCTCCTCTTACCTGCTTCCTCCCTCACTCAGATTTTAACTAAATACAGGAGAGAGCTAGGGGAGCTATACCTGGAAGACAGTGTTGAATATGTAGGGTAAAGTTTCCCTTTAATAATGTTTTTACATGGAGTGGTAAATAACTGCTTTAACCCCATTTTACTGCCACTGACATCCATTACTGGGAGTGGGGGATTTACACATACATTTGACAAACTGATTGTGAGATGGAAGCAATCGGGGGTTCTGCAGCCACCAGATCACTTCCACACCCCTTGGTTAAAGCACCCCCTGCCAGGTTTCCCAGGCCCTTTGCGTCCATCAGCAGACCTAGAACAAGCATAGCAGGTTCCACCAGGTAGAGAGGAAGACCTGCCAACAATGTATAAAAATGTTACTCTCTGCTTCCCAAGTCACTGGTGAAGAAACCAATGCAGTGTGAAACTGTCAGCAAAAAAGTCATATGGAGCATACCTCCCCTACATGATTAAAGTATAATACAAAAAAAAAAAAAAAATTAAACTTTCACCTAAGCACTCAAAATCCAGCTCCATAAAAAACTGAGCTCCCACATTAATATAAATGCACACATCGTAGGTGCCTATGCACAAAAATGTTGATTGCACTATAAGTTATATATTGTTGTGCATGCCAGAGTGAGATCAACAGCTCGAGGCCCATTACTCATGGTTAACTCTAAACAAATGGCCTGTAGGGGTTTTAAAACATCGAAAAACAAAACATATAGGGTACCAAACTGCCAGTGTTTCACGGGCGCATGCAATTTTTAAGGCTTTACATGTTTGGTATCCACTCAGTGCAAACTATGTTTTACCAAAAAATTTGGTTATATCGAGTTTGTAACCTAAAATTGATTTAAGTGCATTTTTTACTGAAATCTTGAGTTTTGTAAACCATTGAGCTAACATCTCTAGGGGGTCTACTGTCAGACTATATTCAGGTGTTTACATAATATTCCAGACCTAAACTGTTTTTACATGTACAAAAAAATTGCAGAAACTGCTCTGGCAGTGAAGGGGCTACATCACTTCGAGCATGTGCAACTTGCAAGCTCTGTTATACAAACTAGAACAAAAATTACTGGCCCCTCGAGACAGGACCAAAAATTAAAATGACAAACAATCTCTTCCAAAACCTGATCCAGGAATATACTCAACTTTATAGTATTAATATTGCCTGTGGTGAGAACCTCTATTTGATGTGATTAGTATCTCGTATCACCAAAAATTTGATTGTGAACAGAAGGTAGCATTCTGTTGTGTGGCTCTCTACTACATACATGACCCTGAGACTTGTCTTGTATCCACAATTCTTCTGTTGCAGCACTGATAAATTTTGATTAATCTGGCCCTCGACTTTGTAAGTACTTATTACAAAAACTGACACCAGCAATTCTGGGTACATTCTCCCCCACGTACAAAATTTTCAGTCATACAAGTACAAGATAAAACACTTGACCTTGACTGCAACGCCAAAAAAAAAAAAAAAAAAAAAAAAAAACACGACATCTGAGGAGGCAAGATTTTATGAAGCACCCAAGAAGCCTCATCAGACTTACCTTTTAGAAAACTGCTTTTCTGAAACAACGTTAATTTTGTTCTTCTGACGTTCAATATGAACCACGTTCCCAAGATTTCCAGTTTTCCCATTGACCTTCACTCTCTGCTTGAGAAACTGTTCCTGTTTTGACAAAACAGAAAAATGTAGACACTAGGGAAGGTAACCCTAGGTACAAACTAGGGAAGGGGACCCTAGTTAGAGCACTTGTTAAATGATGGTTTTGTGACCACACTCTAGTAAGCTCACTACCATGTTTACTGTAAACAAAATGTTCTTTATGCTGAAGTATTTTGCCAACATCAATGCAACTTGTACAAGCTTCATCAACCTTTAAACCTACCAGTTCACCCCAGTACGTTGTATCACTTGTCAAGAACCTCTGCTTGGAAGACCCTTTCATCTCCTGAGTTCACTCAAATTCCAAAATACTGTGACATGTCAGCTTCAGCACTTTACCATGAAGAATATGCAAGGCCATCGCTCAACACTACAAGGAAACTAAACTAGCATGTTACAGTAACCCATCGTTCAGGGAGCAGATGAGTTATCCAAACATACAAGAGCCCACCACTGGGTGCCTGCAATATTCTGTTGAAGTCTTAAAGCTGAACTGTAGCAAATGCTTAACTTAGACTTTAGATTACACAATATGTTATTATATACCTTGCTTCCAAAGGTTCTGTACCCTATACACTTATGGACAGTGCTTGCATATCACCATATGTGACCACTTTGGAAGTAAATCTAGTCCCAAGGGGCTCTTGCACAAAGTGTCCCTCCATGTCACTTACTGCGGTGTTTGCTTTGATGGCTACAGTTGGCTTACGTCAACATTAAAGTCCAGGCAAACTGTTAGATTTTAGTCTGATCATTTACAGGTTTCTAGTTCAGCAGTAATATTCTTATCCCATAAAGCATTATGGCCAATTAACATGACCCATAAAAAGGCAGCAAACCTCCCTGACTGAGTGGCAGGGTTGTATGAATCACAAGAACGGCTGCATGAAACTAAAAGCCCTGTTCTAGGTACCAGCAAACAGCAAATATTAAAAGCCATTCACTTGGAGCTTCACTTTAATTGCTGGTATTACACGGGCTGTATTCATAAGTGAAGCAGTCATTAGTGACATCTCCAACTTCAAAGTTGACTTCTTTGATTTTCTCATGAAAACCTGGTCTGGTCTATTGCTCAAGTTTACTTTCACTGCAGAATGAGAAAATACTGCAGACAAGTTTATTAAAAACTTTGCAATCTACATCAATGACCCAGAGGAATGTTTCTCTCAACAAAAGTGGAATTACTGTTTAAAGTGAAAATTAAACCCTCCTATCCTTTACAGCCAAGAAAGCGGCTTCTGTGATCTGCAACTGCCATGGTGCTGCACATGTGATCAGATAAGACCTCAGCCATTTGATAATTCGACAGTTTGAGGACAAGCAAATGTGATAGACAGCAATTCAGACATTCCAGGAATGTAACTTTTTGAAACTCTTAAATCGATAGGTTTTGTTCCACTTTATGATTTACTGCTGTTAAGGCGCTCTGGGCTTCAGCAAAATGGCAGCCTCCAGCAAGAAAAAAAAGGAGGCATTTACAGCACACACTCATTTTGGTAGCATAATTATGGGGAATGTATGTTCCTTGCTCAAGAACTTTTTTTTTATCAAATTATGGGTACAGTTCTGCTTTAAGTATCAGAAAAATCTCACTACAAACAACTCACAAAGTTGGCAGAGTCAAAGATGCCATCTTCTACAGGATGGGTAAGATCCAGAGTGAACCTCCAGGCAGCCTTTTTGGATTTCCTCTCCTTTGGCATCCTTTTCACCTTTTGCTATAAGAAATAAAGTGGCTGTATTAACAAAAGGGTAACATTTTCAACTCTTTCCTGCCCTCACAAACTGTGCAGTTCAGATGCTGGAGCTACTTCTCAGGACATCCCCAATAGAAGTGTAAGGGGGATGCAGGTAACCAAAGATTATTTCTATCTGCAGAGAAGTATTGCACAGGAAGAGCTTCTGGTAAAAAGATAAGGCAATTAATAAATTTGATTTTCTTTACAGCGAGCCTTCCTGGCTGGCAGAACAATTACTGCTAGTGGCTGTATCTGCCGGTAGTAATCGTATGTAACAAAAACCAACAGGCTAGTTGTACAAGTCGAATGATGCATCGACTTTGGTACAATCTTGAGCCTGCCCATACATGGAGTGAATCTCAGCCCGTCCCTGCTGAAATTTTGATTTATGTATAGTCGGCTTAAAACAGGGGTGTCAAACTGACAGCCCTCCAGCTGAACTACAAGTCCCATCATGCCATATTGGGAGTCATGTTTGTAACTGTCAGCCTTGCAATACCTCAAGGGACTTAGTTCCAGAACAACTGGAAGGCTGCCAGTTTGACATGTGTGGCTTAAAGTATAACTAAAGGCAACCTTTTTCATTTTTAATAGAGTGGAAAGATTAGAAACCCTGTCCATTTTCATTGCCAACTATTCCCCCTGTTAAGGAGATTTGCCTTCTATTTGTCCTGTTTACTATCATTGAAAGTGAAAGTAAGAAAACCCCAAATTTTGGGTTGTCCTCAGAAAAGTAAGAGAGGAATCTTTCAATTGGGGACTGGTTCTGGTGACCTGAAGATCCCACAAGGAATCCCCTGAATTTGTAGGCATTTCCTCTCACTTCCTGTTTGGCTACGGGACAGGAAGTAATGGGAACTATCTACAATGGGACACAGATCGTAAAAAAAAAAACTGACGGGTTATAATTGTTCCTTGCTCTAACCACAATGAAAGTTTTGCCTATAGTTCTACTTTAAGGTTCCACAATACACTGCTTAAAAAAAATAAAAAGGAACACTTTAATCAGTATAGCATTAAGTCAATTAAACTCCTGGGATATTGATCTGGTCAGTTAAGTAGCAGAGGGGAATGTTAATCAGTTTCAGCTGCTTTAGTGTTAATGAAATTAACAGGTGCACTAGATGGCCAACAATGAGATGACCCCCAAAACAGGAATAGTTTTACAAGTAGAGGCCAGTGACGTTTTTCCCTACTTATCTTGACTGTTTATCACTAGTTTTGCATTTAGCTAGGGTCAGTGTCACTACTGGTAGCATGAGGCGATACCTGGACCCTACAGAGGTTGCACAGGCATCCAACTCCTCCAAGGTTTGCTGTGTCTCCCATCAGTCTGAAGAACACAAGAGATTCCAGGAGACAGGCAGTTACTCTAGGAGAGCTGGACAGGGTTATAAAAGGTCCTTAACCAATCAGCAGGCCCGGTATCTGCTACTTTGTGTATGGAAGAACAGGATGAGCACTGCCGAAGCCCTACAAAATGTCCTCCAGCATGTTACTGGTGTGAATGTCTGACCAAGCAATCAGACTTCGCCCTGTTCTTTTCAGATGAGAGCAGGTTCACCCTGAGCACGTGACAGACGTGAAAGGGTCTATAGAAGGTTATGCTGCATGCAACATCATTTAGTATGACTGTTTTGGTGGTGGGTCAGTGATGGTCTGGGGAGGCATATCCATGGAGGAATGCATAGACTTCTAGAGGCTAGACAATGGCACCCTGCTATTAGGTATCAGGATGAAATCCTTGGACCCATTGTCAGACCCTATGCTGGTGCAGTGGTCCTGGGTTCCTCCTGGTGCATGACAATGTCTGGCCTCATGTGACAAGAGTATGCAGGCAGTTCATGGAGGATGAATGAATTGATACAATTGAATGACCCCCCCCCCCACACTCTCCTGACCTAAATCCTCTGGGATGTTTTAGTCCATGTGACACTGCCAGGTTGCACCTCAGACTGTCCAGGAGCTCAGTGATGCCCTGGTCCAGAGCTGGGAGGAAATACCCCAGGACACCATTCATCGTCTTATTAGGAGCATGCCCCGGCGTTGTCAGGCATGCATACAAGCACATGGGGGCCATACAAACTACTGAGTACCATTTTGAGTTGCTGCAATGAAATTTCGCCAAAATGGACTAGCCTGGTGCATCATTTTTTCACTTTGATTTTTGGGAACTCAGTCCTCTGTAGGTTGATAATTTTCATTTCCATCAAACGATGGGGCATCCTTACATTCCTAACACATTACCCAGTCCATATCAGTATAGATATCAGCATGATATTTTTCCCCATTCAGATCTGATGTGTTTTCAAAGTGTTCCTTTAATTTTTTTTTGAGCAGTGTACAACACAATCTGACCATACAAGCTCCATAAAAATCTACCAATACCATGTAATATGAGGATGTACCATCTATGCAATCAATTGATAACCAGACCGGAGCATGCACTTGTAATGCTTGTTAGATCTAATAGAGATTGTACAGATTAGAACCTGTGTGGTGAGCTTATGTTCTACTAACATGTATGAAATACATGGGTCTTCCTGGCTGGATGAATCAAGCAGGGCCTCGTATAACAGAGCTGAGGATACAAAGCCTGCATGGGCAGATTGGAAGGGATCCAGCAGAATGAAGTGTGGATGGGGGAATAGAGATCATCAGTAACTGGATTGTGGATGGAAAGTGGAATCCTTCATAAAGCTCTCCTATGGCGGACAAGCTGAAGAGCCTAGTGACAAGGGTGCGCGCGCACATTTATATACATAAAGACACATCAGTATGAAAAGTACGGACACCGACAGCAGACAGCCCCTAGCCCTTGTATGCTCGGTATAGTCCATTTGCCGGGACACAGCCTACAGTGTGAAATGAATAACTAGACTGCAGATAATTGCCCGGCATGAGGCCATGGACGTTCTAACCATCCGCTCGGACAGCCGCCTATCTACATAATACACGTGTCGCCACTCACCGGCGCCATCTTCTCTAGCTGAGCCTTGTCAAAGAGAGCGCGCAGAGCCGGCCCCCACTACTTATAATCCCGGTCACGTGATTGCTGCTCCGTGGGTCACTTCCGCCGAATGCCGTGTGTGGATGTCAGGCACGGGGAGGGGCGTGTGGGCGGAGCTGAGGATCACTGAACACGACGCACGTGTAATCCTCCGTGCACACAGGATTCAAGGAAAAAAAAAAAAATCAAAGCCACAAGACTAGTTTCAAATAAAGTCCTCAAAACCTTCTGTTTTCATTTTGGATAGTACAATGGAGGGTTCTAACCCATCAGTTAATTTTTTTTACATCTGTGTCCCCATTGTGGAAAATTCCCTTCACTTCCTGTCTCAGCCAAACAGGAAGTGGGTGAATCCCTGCAAATTAAGGTAATTCCTTGGGGACCCCCAGGTCACCAGAACTAGTGTTCCAATTGGAAGATTTTCCCTATATTACTTTTCTGGTGACAATCCAAAATTTGGGATTTTCTTTTAGGGCTAGTTCACACTAGCTTTGAAAGTAGGCGTTTGAGGGGTGTTGTTAACGCTCCTCAAACGCCTATGGAAATGATACTATGGGCAGCACTCTGTTATCAAAACATGAAGTGGTAGCGTCACGTTGCTTCAAAATGGAAGCCTCCGGTTGAGTCAGAAAGGGTTAACATCTGGGGCGATCAAAGGGTTAACTGTGCTGTTTTACATCATGTGCTGTGTTTGTGCTTCACTGTAAACACACTGCTTTGCATGGCTGTGATGTGCACAGCCATCCAAAGCAGTGTGCAGGAGCTGACAGAGAGGATAACTATTTTGTTTACTAACAGCTCTCCCCTCCTTCGGAGATCCTCGGAAATCACCGGTCACCAGCGAGTAATCACAGGCCGGGACTCGGTGATTGACAGCTGCTCCTACGAATGGTGGGTAGGGCGCACCCCCTACCCGGACATGCGAAATCACATATATATACGTGATTTTGTGCACCACTGCCGCCCTATAGCAGTATTTCTTTTATGGGACGGCGCTAAAGCAGTTAAACATGTCCAGTTAAAAAATTTAAAAAAATCAAATTTTGTCTTTGCTAAATAAAAAAATCCCAATACGTGTAAATTAATTGGTTAATGTGAAAGTTATAGTGTCTGCAAATGGCGGTATATATACTGAAATTTTTTTTTTTATACTAGTAATGGCATTCTGGGGGGGAACTAACCGCCTCTGACATCCCAACGACACTAATACAGTGATCAGTGCTAATAGAAAGCACTGACACTGTACTAATGGCACTGAGCAGGAAGGGGTTAATATCTGGGGCGATCAAAGGGTTAACTGTGTGCTGTTTTGCATTATGTGCAGTGTGTGTTTTACTATGTAGACAAGCTGCTTTGTATTGCTCTGTTATGCATGGCAATACAAAGCAACCTGTTTGTGCTGACGGGAGAGATCTGTGGTGTTTCCACACAGACCTCTCCCCTGTCACTATTCCTCGGTGATCTCCAGGTGCCGGCTGGGAATCTCCTTCCGGGACCAGGTGATCGACAGCAACCTGTTTGTGCTGACAGGGGAGAGATCTGTGTTGTTTCCACACAGATCTCTCCCCTGTCACTGTTCCTCGGTGATTGCCAGGTGCCGGCAGGAAATCTATGTCGGGGACCGGGTGATCGACAGCTGTAGCCACCAATGGTGGCACGGGTAGGGCGGCGAGCGCGTCCCCTACCCGAAAATGTGAAATCACATACATACATATAAACACAGTTATGTTCATAATAATAGCAGTCAGATATCACTAACCTGATCAATCACTGTTTTTGGTAGAAATGATATTTCTACATGGCAAATAATTTACTAGCAGGTGTAGTAGAGTAATAGAAATCCAACAGACCCAACAGTCATGACATGTATGCTGCTGATTCTGTGTAATTGAATCACTAATTGAAAGGGGCATGTTCATAATAATAGCAGTGTGGAGTTCTATTAGTGAGGTCA